CCCCCCCCCCCCCCCCCCCCCACATGTAAGCACATGCACACTGGAGGAGCTGGCTCTTTCTTTCTACCGGCGTATGTTTGAGCGCACGACACGTCTGCGTTGTACGGTGCAGTGCCTACGCGGAGAAGAAACCATTTTGTAGCTCATGCGTCACAGACGAGCTGTTTTATGGCACATATGCATTTTAATGTTCGGCGGTAGAGTCCACGTTTATTAATTCATTTCCATGACATGACTGCAATATTCATCATCTAGCAAAAAAGAGGAACCTCACTAGGAAGTGGGAAACGTTCGGTTACGCTGTACTGTAACAATATTTGCACTAAAGCAATTAACACTGAGTTACCATCACTCCATTCTAGTGCATTGTGGTGATTGCACTGAGAACCATTCTTCTGTGCTGTAACAGTGCACATTTGTGGGTATGATATCTATAATTGAATGCATTTCATGAATGAAAAGAGACGGCATTGAAAGGCAATATGGTGTTTGTTGAAGACTGCTGTTGTAGGCAAAGAGATGGCTCTCCGACCCGATTGTACACGTTTGATTCCTGCAGCAATACTGTGGTTTCCTCGGTGTTTCCTCTGTGCAACGTGTGCCGTGCTGTGATGAACATCAGTTCCTCAGGTCGTGACGTTACAGACGTGTTAATGTGACTGCAGAGATAATCTACAGACTGGTGTTAGGTCTTTACAGTCCAAGATGTATGAAATGTGTGAAATATATTGTGTTTCATCCTTCAGCATGATCCATTTCTGATCTGTCCGTAGTATTGAAGACACCAGTCGTCTTATTCAGTGGAATAAATGGGATCTGTGGTTTGTACTGCACTTGTTTTCCACTAGATGGCGGCGATCACTCACATGAGCTCATGAGGCCTTCCCTGGCTCCTTACACTGTCTGCAGCTTCTCCAGGCTGAAGGAGTATAAACTGATATTGTTACACGTGCAGGTACGTTGTCTCACTCTGATCATTTCATTCATTATTTTAAATAGAAAGACATTTTTTTAAGCCAAATTTAAGAATTCATAAACTAGATTCCAGGATTATGCCGTGTTCACACCAAACACACACATGTTAATCGCGTCATTCGCATCGCCGGTCTCGCCTGGGACTATTTGTGTTCATTCATGTGAATCGCGCTGGACGCGCCCTGGAAGCCTTTCAACTGTCCGCCATCAACCATGGAAAAAATAACCTCTATTTCTGCTTAGTACGTGTTGTGGAAGTCACAGATATCCCGGGAAACTAAACACCGTCATGTCTGGCCACACGTCGGCTGTTTACTACAGCTGTATGAACACAAAATAAACCGATTTGGCTGTGATTTAACGGCAATAAGCGGACAAAAAGGGACTCCGAAATAACTACGTAATGATGTCGATTTGTAAAAAGTCTGAATTCATGTTTAGTTAGTTCTCTCCGCAAGACGACAAGCAAATAACTTTTAAAATACTTGTTTTCTCAATGGAGCTTTGATGGAGCGGTGCTAGGCTAAGCTAACATTGTAGCAGCTCCACCAACACTCAATACCGTCATGTAGACGTAAACACGGCAGCGTCTATTCATTGTTTGTACCATATGGTTTACACACACACACACACACACTTGTACACATAGTTTGGTCCGGTCTCTATTGATATGAGGTACCGTAGAGCTCTGGGTGAACACAGACAGCTACAGGATTTGTTTCCTGATTCAACAACGGCAGGACGTCAGTGATGACAGGGGGAGCATCTCAACGCTGATAGGCTACCGCGCCGCAGCTTCACGCCATTTTTTCGCTGAAGTTGAAAAATTTCAACTCGCGCGTTTGTGGCGTTACGCGCCGCGCCATCGCAATTTCGCGTCACTCCAGTCTCATCGCGTCTGTGCACAGACTTTGTATGTAATCTACTCGTGCGAATAATTCGCGCCGCGTTTGGTGTGAACGCACCTTTACATTATGATAAGCAATACTAAGGTAGGGAAAAACTTTCAGAAAATGGTTCTTTCGTTTATATAAGTGGCCATAATGACCGTTTATTTGCAATTGCTATAACACAATTTTTGTAACTAGGCCCCTATTTGTTTATGCACAAAAATATGTTCACAAAATACAAAATATGCTTGCACCTCTTGCATCACAACTTTACACAAACCCCAAATACATACAATAGCTCTTTCCACATGTCAACTGCACACGGATGTGCTAAGTGCAAAACAGTTATCATTGTCATTTGTAGCGAGCTCTAAATATAGACTGAGAAAACAAATGCAATGAGTTTAATACTCAATATTAATATACTCATAACAGTAGAAGACCAAAGAGCAAACCCTAAATCCTACTTCAGCGTTCAAGCTCTGATTTCTAACTGATATAATATGTGACAGGTGATTTCACAGGGGCATTCTGGGTACAGGTGATTGATGATTAAGTGGGGTAATTTAACAGCAGTGTTTAGTGAACAACACACACAGGCTCTTACTGTTGAACGATGTGTGTTTACTTTGTTACAAAAGGTGTGTTTTAGGATTTCAAACGTGTAAAGCAGACAATGTGCTTATGGTGTAGTCCACCTGGTTGATAGATAACTGAATAATTGACACAAAAGGCGAACGACACATCAAGATCTTTAGATTTTACATTTATTAGTCACTTGTTAGCCTTCGTTCTAACACAGGAATGTTTTTTTAATCAATACATTAACCACGTTGAGACTGAATTCACTGATATGAGTAGTAGTTTTCTTCAGTGTATTTTAATTCCGTAAGTCATTAAACCATATACGTGATAGAATATGTGAATCATCAGTTTGTAACAACCATATTTATTTATGCTATGGCTTAAACTGGCTCAGTGTGGCATAGTTATGGTCCATCACACAAGCTCACTTTACTCACATCAGCTCTGTCAGAACCAGCACCAGCACGGCTCATTGAACTGTTGTTGTGTTAACTTCACGTATGTTTCTGAAGTTGACATCAGTTCAGAGTCGCAGTCGCCAGATCCCCAAACGTTTCCCTCTGTGCCAGACAAGCGATTCTCCTTGGACTGAAAAGGCCCCATCTCGTGGTCCGTTATCCAGTTCTCTGACACATCTATCATCTAGTGGCCTGCAAATGCTCTTGTATTTAAACGCCGACACCATCCCTTACTGGAAAAGGTAACGCACGAACACAGCGACCACAAATCTTTGATCAAAACAATTCAGCAGGTCAATAGTAATTACCATCTTTACCTATTGCTAAAACGGTTTATATGTAAGCTATCATGACATTGTAGCAATGAGTTTTCTACCTGCCTGCTGGGCGCACAACATTAATTCACCCTTTTGCTAAGCCCCGCCCCCCGCTTCTACTCCCTAAAGCTATCAAAGCTAACACGGAGCCCACACTGTCACTAACTGCTCTCCCTGAATAAACGTTATATGATTTTTGACGAAAGCTATTTTAGAGAGAAGCAGACAGATGAGTCTACAATATGAAGGATATATCCAGGATGTTAAACTCACTCAGCAGTAAAAACAGGTTAAAAAGATAAAGATAGAAGCTAAAGCTACAGATCACCATGTAAAACTGAACCACCACATCACCTGGAGATCCAGACAGAAGACAATGAAATTAAGGAACACTGTTCCTGTAAAGCCGGGGTAAGTGTTTAGTCACTGTTACAATCATTAGAACTGTAAATATTCAGTACAACTTTAGTAGCTATACGTAGCATAGCAGTGCTCATTTTAGTTAATGTGCTAACATACTAGCTTCATTTTAGTTGTTTTTTTTTACGTTGAAACGTAATGTTTTAGAAACTTGCATCTCCTTCGAACCTCTCCGGGTAACGAGTGTCACTATTAAACAACGTTTAACCAGGACGAGCTCCACATCCACCAACCCAGCCTGAAAATAAAGACAATCTGACACGATTACATGAGAGTCTGTGGAGCAGAGCCGGATGGCCTGGTCACTGCTGGCTGATGCTACGCTATGATTGGCCAGTCTGTGTTCAAGACTTGGCACAGGGCAAATTTTTTTTTAGATTGGAAATCCATCTATAGCAGAAGGACTTTATTTTGAAATTCCCTGAGTCATACTGTATCTATTTCAGTCATAGAAATCTGGTGGCGCTTAAAATCTGCAAGTTAATGATCACAAAAGGGTCCTTGACATCAGCAGAGAAAGATACATAATTTATGTAATATAGCAATGCCCTCTTACAGCCAGGTTTAGTAATGGTTGGTAGGTTCGTGAGGTTATGTTTATTCACTGCTTACTCTACATCAATACGCTGATTTCATCTGTGAGGCTTTTACTGCCATTAAGGATCGAAAGTTTGCTCTACATACACACACACACACACACACATTTTGGACTTCATCCGGGCTAAAATGGGTTGATGGGATTCAAGTGAGGCTGTTCATGGCTGCTGTATTCCTCTCTGTGTTTTTTCCACATTAACGTGGTCAAACTAAAACAGCAGAGAGATACAGGAGGATACAGTTACTAGCCTGAACTCTCACTTAACCATACAGGTACAGGGAAAATAAAAGGTCCAGTGCATTTTATTACATGTTTATTTGTACCGGGACAAGTATGTAGCGCTAACCGATGCCACACACCACAGCATCTATAGCCTGAGCTCATTTGCAATTCTAACCCTCGATAGGCCTCTGAAATACATGAAACTCGACAACTAATACACAAGAGACAACACAAAACACAAGCTACAATATAGGTGCAAAACATGACTTTCACTTCTACACAAAGGGAAAAAAAAGAATCGTATATGTATTAAAATGCTATCTGAAAAGAGAGAGACAAGCTATTATTTCAATAATGAGGGCGATGATGATATATTTGTCCCTGCTGACATGCTGCAACAGATCCAACACATTGTCCCTCCCAACAG